GAACATCTAAAAAAGACATCGAATAAACCTTATTACTTTTTGAGTTGATAAGTGATCTTGAAATCAAATATAAATAAAGACATGCTCCAATAAGCTTGGTGATAATTCAAAATATGTGTTGACATAAAGTACTTAAGGTTCTTGTAATCTATATATAATTTGACTAGGCTTGAGACACCTTTAAAATAATAATGCCATCCTTAAAATGAATCTATAATTACAAATAGTTCTTTGTTGTGGATCTCATAATTAATCTCAACTATTGAAATTTTTTGGAATAAAAAGTTATTAGATGGAATTTGTTATTTATTCACATTTGAAATAATACTGCACTAAAGGCAAAGTTTGATGCATCTGTTTCTACAAAAAATGCCTTAGAGAAGTTAATACAATAAAAGATTGGTGCACAAATAAATTTCTTTTTTAAAAAATTAAATAATACTTTGGCTTCTTTATTCCACTGAAATTTGTTTTTATAATTCAAACATGTAAATAAAGCTACAATTTGAGAAATGATGGATTCTAAGAAGTCAACTTGAGTGGTGTCGAATACACACTTTTCTAACTTGGAATATAATTATGCAACTTTAAGTCTTTGTAATACACAAAAAATATGAACTTCATGCTCTTTTGTATTCTTAGAGTAGATTAAGATGTTCTTCAAATAATAGATGACAAAATAATTAAGAAACTTACAAAATACATCATTCATTAGATGTTGAAAAGCAACTAATGTATTTGTGAGTCTAAAAGGCATGACATTATATTCAAAATGCCCATATCTAGTTCAACATGTAGTTTTCCATTCATCTCTTTTTTTAATGTGTACCAGATTATATGCTCTTTGTGAGCATAATTAAAAGCTCCAATAGTTAATTACAATTCTTTTTGTAATTTTTAACATATTTTTGCTAATTTTAATTCTAATATAACTAATTAAAAGATCTATATTAGTTTTTTAGTTAATTAAGAATTTGATCATATCTTTAGGTTATTAATTAGATAGATACTTTTAATTAGTAATTGATTGACTATTTTAAAATTCAAAAGAAAAAATAGTAAATTTATAAGGTCTATGATTTTTTTTTCTTGAATTACTTTAAATCTTTTTCTTAGTAATAAAACTACAATTTTAGTAGAATTTTTCTTCTAATTCTTAGGAATTATATCTTAAATTAATCCACAATTTTAATTTTCAATCTAAAAGCTAATTTCTAATTTGACTATGATTAGAAAGTTCCTTAAATCTAATCATTCTATCTTCTTAATTAATTTTGAGATTTTTAAGCTTAAATTTTATTTTGTAATTTAATTGGATTAAAAATATAAAGTCTAATTATTAAATTAATTATGATCTTTAAAAGATGGAGACAAGCTAAATTTTTGGTGGAGTTTCCTTTCATAGTGATTTTAATCACTACTTGAAGTTGAAAAAAAGGAAAAATTAGAAAAAATCACAAGTGTATTAATTCAAGTCCGATTTGCAATTAGATTTTGGATTTGCCAAGAGTTCATGATTAAGAGAGTTTAAGTTGGAGAATGGTGATTATGAGGCTTTGATGGCAAGAATCCTTGCTGATTTCCAAGTAGGCTAATTAGAATTAGAATTGTAGTTGAAATTTACAACTAAATTAGCAAATTAATTGATTCTTATGATTCAAAACTCAGATTTGGGCTTGTGAATAGTTGATATTATGGTTAAAATATGTTTTAGAGACATTATTTGTATTAGTTTCACGAAAAAGGTGTTAGTTTTGGAATTCTAAGCATTTCCAACCTTGAAATCGGATTTGGGCTGAGAGTTATTGAGGACCCTTGATCTTGATTAGGGATTTTCTGATTTTGATGGTGGAGATGTGTCCGCCACTATTGAGCCTCCTTCTACCTGGTTAAGAGGGCTTGGGTGACCGAGCTCCTTGTGTCTCTCCATCTTCTTGTGGCGAAGCCATGGAAAAATGTTCCCCCATCTTGTGAATGCAAATCTTCTTCTTTAAACTTGTATGGCCTCGGTTTTTACTCGCTCATTCTATCTCTTTTTATTTTCTTTCTATAAAACTTTATAAACAAATTCTACTCACCCTTAGCTTTGTAACGGCATAAAGCACGCCTGATTTGAAATTGTGACGAATTTTTGGCAAATTTTCAAGGTGGCAAGGATCTATTGCCTTGGCCGTGTAGGAGTGTTGGTTTAAAAAATTATAACTCAATGACCTCTGACTCAACTTTGATATAGATTGTTGAAATGAATGCACTCTAAAGCTTAGTTTACTGCAAAATTTAAATAACTAATTTTCAATCCATATAAATTTTTTAATGAATTTTTAAATGCAAAGGGATCTTCTATCTCGGTAGTGTTGAACAACCAGCTTTGAAAAATTGTATCTTAGTACTTACTTACATTTTTGTACTGAAATTTGTTAGAAAATTTGTTGGAAATTTTTTTGAAGTTTGTTGGAACTCTACTAAGTGTGATTTTAGGAGAAATTATACTTGTCAATTTTAAACCATTAACTGATTTTTAGTAAATTTTTAAGTAGAATGGGGTCTGCTACCTAGGTAGCTCAAGTCGCCTTGCTTTGAAAACACACATCTCGGATGTCAAACCTCGGATCACGATGAAATTTGGTAGATAGGAGCAACTCTAAGTCAATCTCAACCACAAAAAAATTTCAAGTGCATAGAATTTGTGTGGGAATGTTAGCAAATTTTTGAACAACAAGGATCTAATGTCCTCAACTTGATATACTTTTTCTTCCCTAATCACCGTCTAATCACATCCTTTAGCACCTAAATTGCTATATTATCACTCATTTGTCTTATTATGATTAATTTATGTTATTTAATAATTTCAAAGAACTTTTACCTCACTTTGGAAATTAATCTAGAATTCTTATTTTTCCATCCATTTTTATCTTTTAAGGATTAAATAAAAATAAATAAATAAAAATTAATTTAATCTTTTAATTTTTTCTTGTTTCTTTTTACCTTAACCTTTTAAATTTTAATTTTAACCTTCAAATTTAAAATTTTGTTACTTTTAAACTTTTACTTAACTTTTAATTATTAATTCTAACTTTAATTTTAATTTTATTTTCTACTTTTTTATTTTTAATTTTGTAATCTTCCAACCATCATCTTTTATCTTAAAAAAATCTTAACATCATGTTAGTGCTGAATTTAAATATTTAAGGCTTTTTATTACTAAATTTCTAATTCTACATAAAGTTTTGTCATAAAAACTTCATCCGTAGATAACTTCTTATATGGAACTCCGATTTACATGATTAATACCACCTTGGAAAGCCCTAGACTATCACTCTAGCATGGTATTCATTTATTTTATTTTATTTTATTCTAATTCATAATTTTCAAAGTTTAAGTTTGATGGAATAAGTCTTAGAAGGTACTTAACTAAATGAATTACAAATGCTAAAGATTAAATCATAAAAAGGTGTAACTAACTTGTTGTGTTGTTGGATTAATCTTGATTATTACATCATTTTGGTTTTCCTATCTTATAGATGATTTGCATCTCCACATTAATTAATATTGGGCTCTAATGTAAGTTAAAATCTAATTAAATCAAATTTAAGTGAGGAAAAAAAATCCACTCACAATACCTATAATTTTATTTTTTATTATTTTTTTTTATTAATGATCTCCTTTTAATAAGCCTAGGCTTATTAGAAACTCAATTTGATAGTACATCACTTACTTCAAGTCGATCTTCAAATTTGTCTTCATACTCTTGATCTTACTCTTCAAAGTTATAGCATCCAATTGGCAAAATAACAATTTCCTTTGCATTGAAACATCCATCAAATATTTGTTCTTACTTTTAATCAAGTAATCTTCGTGTCTATAGAATGAAAACATTAAGAAATATCATCTTAGAAAATTTTAAAATTTTAAATAAAGTATTGAGGGGTGAATAGATAGAAACAAAAGTAAATTATAAAAGTTTTAATTTTTTTTATTGTATAGTCTTGCCTTCTATCAAAAAAGAATAGAAAATGCAACAAAATGAGCCATGGAAGCTTTTTTACTCTTATCCTAAGACCTAAAAGTGGCAGCTACATCTCTACCCTTAAATTTCAAAGAGTCAAACTAAGATCCACAATCTTCATTGATTGAAGAATCAAAACCTAGAATTAAGGTCATTGGCCATTAAATGAGCCCTAAAAGTATATTTTTGGCCAAATTAATTTCATTATTGGATTTAGAACACATTTTTTTTGACAAGAATTGACTAATCACATAGCTTAATTCATAAGAAATTATAAAACTTATAAACATTAAATATAATTTAGATTTGAATATAATTTATTCCTAGATTATTTCTAATCTACTTCTTACTTATATTTGATATCTTTATTAATATATTTAGATTGAAAAAGTAATACAACGAAGAAAAAATAATAATAAAAAAAGAAGAATTAACTCTAAATCAACTAACAACCTACTAATAATGTTCACACCTAATTAAACTCATCAATTAACAATCACAAATTTAAAATATTAATATAAAATTGATCTTTATTAAATTATTTACACAACACAAACATATTCTTACAACTCTACAAAAAATAAGAGTTGCAATCAAACATTTCTTTTAGATTTAAAATCCAAAATATATTTAATGTCTCTTGACTTGTACCAATTTAATTTAATTTTATTTTATTTTAAATTTTTATCACGCACTACTATATTAATCCATCACATAAAAACAGATTTATGCTATATCAATAGTTTTTTTTTAACAGTTTGTAATGCACAACATGAAGCCCAACTATGGACATCTTGGTAGAATCAACATCAATGCTTCCACACTAAATGGCTTCACGCTAAGTTTGGATATATGCCAAGTTTAGTCGGTGTCCGCAGGCCGCCTAGCACGCAGGCGAATGTTAGCAGCCCACGTCGCCACCATCGATTCACAAGCCTGTGGGCTGAGGGAGATTCAGGCGCGATGCGCAGGAGCCCGAATCTTCTCATGCATTCAGCGACATCGGATCCGAGATCGACAGCGCAATTCGGGCCACTCCCGAGAAGCGAGCTCTCGGATGAGGCCTCGCATCAGTGGCTACCCTTGCCACGCCTCTCGATTCCATCGCTGCATCCCAATATCGCAGCTTCCGTCTGTCAATCCACGTCCCACACACATCTCTGTCGTAGAATTCCAGACCTGTTCCCCTCGCGCTTGATTCTGCATGTCCGAAGGCTCAACCAAATTCCGCAAATTTTTTAGCTTGTGAGTCGATTGGTTGGAGAGGAGCAAGTGCCGAAATTCGGCTTGAGTTTGGTGGAGTAGACTGTTGTTTGTCTCGAATGCTTGGGTGTAGTTCGCGATTGTTTTGGGAGCTGTTGCTGGAGGTCGACAGGGAATAAGTGGGTTGGTTTTTGGCAAAGGAGAATAAGAAAGGGGGCAATTGTTGTGAGCCATGAGGTCGCTCGCATTTGACGCCTTGGCGCTGCAGCAATGGTCTCTCTCCACACGACCCCAATTGAGTTCACTGGTCTACATTAAGAATCTGAAACCCAACAGCATTAAACGATTCTACGGTAGCTCAGTTTCGCGGACTATTTCCTCATGTAAAGCTCTGCTCAGGCACCAAGGTTTTAATAGAATTGAACTAGAATGCAAACACATTTCGGTGCACAAGAGAAGGGTTTCTCTTCTCGTCCCTGCTTTCAGCAATTATAGGTCGACGGAGCGCAGAGGAGCTAAAATTCAATGTCAAGCCGGGCTGAAGCCATCCTCAGATGATGAAAACGACGCCCTCGTGGAGTTGGTGAAGAAAGATGTGGACATTGACGGTTGGCAGTGGACGAAGACAAACAAAGAGCTGGTAATTGCCTTGTGCGTTAGGGTTCGCAATCTGTAGGTGGTTTGTGTATCCCTCTGCGGTTATATGTACAAGCGTTTGTGTGGTTTTCGATAACAGGTTGCGAAGCGTTTATTTGCATCGCCGGAGGAAGTAATGATTTGCCTTATCGCGATGACAGTGTGTCCACTATCAGCAGGGACGTTTGAATTTGAAATTTTGAATGCAGATAGCGTATTCTCTTCTGCTTGTAGCGGTGCCGGTAGGGACAATTCTGCCCCAGACTCATTTTCAGTGGTCTGGAGCATTATACTTTCTTTTTCTCGCGGTGTGGACTATATATGTCGGCAGTCATCGCAGGTACCCCTCTTAATTTTATTTATAGTACAGTAAGGTATTAAACTGGCGTCTTTAAATCACAAGTAAGAATTGTAGTGTTGAGGGATAACAGTCTCATACATTCGTTAAGGTATAATTTGTGTAGTAGACTATGAGTTTTAGTGTATAAGACAGGCATCTAGTACAGACAATGAGCAAGACAAATTTCAAGATAATTGCTGTGGCGGAGACATGTCGTCTCAGGCCGGATTCCAGTTTCGGTTTGTCACTCTTGATGGTCCTGAACCTTTTTATTTTCATATTAAAAGTTACTAGATGTAATGAGGTTGCGCGCTAGTAAGAAAGCTTTGAATTGCGCATTAGAATAGGAAAATGTTGCGGATATAATTGTATAACTATCCATAACAGCTGTTCTTTATCGGACAACCATTACCGGTTTTCCTCTCCTAATGTAGACGCATAACTTTGCCCCTAGTTTTGTTTGATAAACTTTGTGATACTATGTGCTGGTCATTGCAGTTTAGGGAAAAACCCTCCACAAAGTGTCACTTTCAAGCAAGGACTTGCAGCTCCCCTCTTTGCCTCAATATCCCTCTTTGGATTCTATACGTTGCTACGGTTTTTCCCCAATCTCGACATCCGCACTTTCATCTCTGCTTATCTCGGTGTGGCTGGTGTCGTGGCTGTTGCAAGTAATCTTGCACCGCCACTTCGCTCCATTCTGCCAAACGCTGAAAATGTATCTTGGCGTATAGGTATGGACCTGGGCATTACGCATTCGAAATGTGTCCATAGACCTTACGTCAATCCTCGTGAAACATAGTGGGTGATGTAGTGCAGTACGATGTACATTTGGAGGAGAGATGCTCAGATACGAAAGTGACATCTGAATACTAATGGTTTGTCAGCCTCTGCAGGGCATGACCCAAAAATGCATCTTCTGATGGACGTGCTTTGGAGTGGCAGATTTTCCAAAGTGGTTGGTTGAGGATGACGGCGAAGCTGTTCATTTAACGCTTACTCCTGCTGACATATTGGCTACCGCTGGTAACTCTCCTACACTTCTAGGATTTCTAGCTCTTTGCAAGAAAAGCTGATAAGGTGGAGTTCATATTTTGTCTCTCGCAGTATCAAATTACACTGACAGAATTCTGACGACTTATATGTTGGGATTCGCATACTGAAGTTGATTAGTGAGTGATTGACGGTATGGTTCGAACAGTGGGTATTGCGGCGGCTATCGCGAGTAAACAATCGGGCGCTCCATTCACTCTGAACAACTTCATAGCCGTTTGTATTGTAACTGAACTACTACAGCTTTTGTCTCTTGGGAGGTAAATGCCTTGCTTCATAAGCATAATGGTCTTAAAAACTTCAACTTTGACTTTGGTCGTAATGGTTACTCGTAATGCTATGCAAACCGCTCCTCTTATTCTTATACTTGATTTCACATTAAAAAGGTGTTGTCAATTGCTGTAACAAAATCGCGCTTTTCTTTTTAACAGTTTTGCGACAGCAGCTACCATGCTTTCGGGGCTGCTTCTGTATGATGTCTTCTGGGTCTTTGGCTCCTCGCATGTATTTGGCGACAATGTTATGGTGACCGTAAGTGCCTTCTTACTTTCATACACCTCGTATAGATTCTCATCATCATGAAGATCTCGCGAATCGACGCGATTTCTCTCTGCCAGTTTATCGTTTCACAACCGATATGTGGTATACTACATGGAGTATTCAACACTTCTCTTCAATGAATGTCATTGTGCAGGTTGCAACATCGCCAGTTTTCGACGGACCCATGAAATTAATTTTCCCACAGTTAAATGTAAGATCTGTGTTTATGCACAGTCTTTTCGTTTTCAATAAGCTTGTCAGTGCCTTGAATTTCAGATCTAGAGAGCTTATAGCTGAGGTTTAGGCCATCGGGAGCCAACTGCGACTTAGCATAACAATCCAGACCCTCCATCTCCATCTGCTCGCACACAAATGAAGTCATGAATCCAACAATTTTCTTAGGATTATCCTTGCACGACTCTACTTGAGTAATTGGTCGAAAATTTCAGTAGTCAAAACCTCTGATGCTGGACAAAGAACCGATTAACTTTGCAAGCATGTTATTTTATTCTAATTACAAACTAAGGTTCGTCATACTGGATGCAATCTGGACAGGCAAACGCCGCCAACCCTTACTCTATATTAGGGCTGGGAGACATTGCTGCACCCGGGCTACTGATAGCTTTGATGCTACGGTTCGACCGCTCTCGATCCAAGGGACTCTCCGGAGCAGATAAGACAGCCGACTCCCAGAAATTGCCAGCCGACAAAACATACTTCATTACATGCATCGCCTCATACATTTTTGGGCTGACTGTCACCGTTGGTAAGCGATCAGTGCACCAACGTTGGTACAATTTCCCTCTCGTCCTTTTTGCTCATACAAAGCATATCACCCACATTTCCTCTGCAGAAACTGCTGTAAGTGCATGTGTTACACCATCTTGTATGTCAGTTTAGCGGTACTGTCTGTGTTTCACAGTCTGACTTGACGATTGCAGTGGCAAACACGGTCTCCGGTGCTGCACAACCAGCGCTGCTCTATCTGGTCCCATCTCTTCTTTTCGGTGTGTTCATCGTTGCGGCTTCAAGGTCTGAGGCGTCCCTGTTGCTAGACTATAAGGAGGAGTTTTTGCCGATAGCTGTTAAAGGCGATGACACACTGGAATGAAAGGTCCTGGTTGGGTGATCCATCCTTTTCCTGTGAGTACAAAGCAGAGCTTCTTGTTCACAATACTGCTGGCTTATTGCAAATAGAGCAGGCAATTTGTTGCTCTTTCGACTCCCGAAACAATGATTGATAAAAGACAGTAAGAGAACTTCCCTTTCTTGTCTGAAAACTAAATGTGGGATTCCAAGTCTAGCGACTACATTGCATGGTGCCAATAGCATTTGAGAATGACTATTACTGTTGTCCCTCTCGAATATGACAGGTTTGGTAAACAAGTTTTTTTTTGTATAATTGAAACATTTTCCTCTTCCATGTTGATGTGCTCTTGAAAATGATCAAATGTCATCTTGAAACATTTTCCTCTTCCATAGCATAAACATCTTTTGGTCTATAATTTGATAAAAGAATTAGTAGATGGCTTGAAGCTTGTAATACTCCAATGCTTGAAGCATCTCTATTCTTAACATGTAAATAGCATATATCCAACAAAAAACTCAATACCAAAATATATTTACATGGCATGATACAATTATGATTTATTTATTTAAATATTGATATTATATCATTATTGAATCACTATACATTCAAATGATCATAAAATTAAAAAAAATTCATGTGTATAAAATTGACCATATGCAATTTCATGTCTCTTTTTGAATTTCTCCAACCATCAATTGGAAATCTTAAAGCATTAATACTTGTCCACATTTTCTTAATTGTATGCAACTTATATTGAAAATAAACCTATAAGTTTTGTAGCCTTCTTGAGTAATAACTTATTAATTATAATTCTATCTTTTGACCTTATTTGTGAACGAAGAAAGAATAAAAAGTAACTAAAGAAGAATTAACAAAATTATAAAACTAATAGGATTAATTTATAAATTTTACAAAAGTTTTAAATACTTAAAAAATTATATTTCTCTTTACTTGTTTCTTGCAATTTTGATTGAATTCATTAACAACTTATTTATAAAAGATGAGTCTTGTGAATAGATGATATTTTTTTTATTTGAAAAAGTATTAAATTAGTTTTTTTTTTTTTTTTTTTTTTTTTTTTTACTAATATCCTTCATATTAAATAACAAAAATATTTCATCAAAAACACAAAATATTAGAAAGACTTACCAGCCATGAAAACTTCAAATGCATGTCTTATTTCCTTCCATATTGTAAATGAGCTTATGCCATCATATAACATAGAATTAGAATGACTCATTAATCATGCAATTCCTAAATGCATGCTATAAGAGACCATTGCCATGTCTCAATAAACACCTTAAATTCTCTAAATTGTTCAAGTACTTGAATTGTGAGGAGCTTTTGTAATACTTCATGGAATCAATCAAAGTAGAACTCAAGCATCAAGTATATTGGCACTAAGCTTTTTAAAACAAAGTTAAAAAGAAGTTTTGAAGTAGCTATTTTAGAATTTATATTGAGCCTAATAAAAATCCTAAGGCTTGATTTTTTGAAGTCCTTGAGTTTTCTTGTAACGTTCTTAATTACAAATGATTTTTTTTTAAAATATTTATTATTTGGATATTATAAAATTATATTGTATAGTGAAGGTTGTTATATAATTGAGTATTAGATTAACAAAATTAAATTTTAGTAGAGTTTCATATTCATAGTAGCTTGTATTATGTTAAATGGTAATGTCTTTATGACATTTGAAGCTAATTCTAGTTGGAGGTTCCAAGGGATAGAAGCCCTCTCAGCTAAGGTACAAAGTAGATCCCTATAGTACAAATCATGTGTAATACATGAATATAAATGCCAAAATATAGAATCAAGTTAAGGTTTCCAATTTAGAAGCTCCAATGGGATATAGTCTTAGATAGACTTCGAGTTAAGAGTCAATGTGTAGGACAAGTTTTGTAGTGCAAGAGTAAGCTTAGATAAAACATATTATACTTTAGGTGTGGCATTAGTAAAGTTGTAAGCTAGAGATTTCTCCTATGGATGTAGCTTTAAAGTAAGTGAACCACATACATATTGCATTAATCTACATCTAAATTCTTGTTATTTCTATCATTGTGAGTGTACAATTCACTTTTCGTAACATTTCAAATTAAAAATTTTAAATTAAGTTTTGAAAAGAAATTTTAACTTAAAATAGGATGAAATTTTTTCTTAGTGTTTGGTAACTAAAAGAAGTTGACAGAGTATAGTAATTCAAACATATTAGATATATAAGTTTTTGATAGAAAATATGGAATATTATACAAAAATCATCTATAAATTCTCATAATGGTTTATATTAAGACAAAGTTGAAGAATTAAAAAAAATGTAACAAATATAAATTGAAGATAACATGTAAACAAATAGTTTACTTTTAAACTTAGATGTAAGAAACAAATCTATATACTCCATTTAAGCCAAAAATAGATAAAATCAACTTTAAAACAGTATTCAAAAAAGTTTTTTTGTTTATAAGACAAATAAATAAAGTTACATGTCTAATATTTAAAAGTTGTCTTTTAAAGAATTTGCTTTATGAAGAGATTTAATAAAATATATTAAAAATTAAAACGTATTTAAAATACAAAAAATAAGAAAAAATAGTCATTAAATAATATTTTTTTAAAAAAAATATAAAAAATTAAATAAAATAAAATAATATAAAAATATCTAAGTATTTAGGTGTTTATATTTAATAAAAATTTTAAGTTGATTATATACAATATGGACTAAATTAACTTTAATTCTTTTATTGAATAAAAAAAGTATATAAAAACATAAATTTAAAAATAATTATATCAAAATTCTAAACTATTAATAATTAGTAAGATCTAAGATCATTGTAGAATTCTTAATATAGAATATAATGGTTAAAAATTTAAAAAATTAAAAGTAATATATTTGTATAAAATCAAAACTAGAAAAAAAAATGCTACATAATTAATTTTTTCTTTTGATATTTCAATTTACTTGCTATATTTGTTATAATTTTTTATCAAACATTGTGCTACTTTGCAAATAGAAAATAAAGTAAATTAAAACTTATAAGTGGATAGTTTAGAATATCTATATATATATATATAATACTTCTTTTTTAATAATATATCTAAAAAAGCTATAAATAAGAAGAATCAATTCTTATATTTTTTATTATACTTAAATTTTCATAATAAAAGTAATTGATATAAGAAGATCTATCCTTGATTTAACACGTTAAGAAGGTCAAGGTAGTAGAACTTTTTTCTTATAGTTGTAGTAATCTTATAGGTAATTAGGTTAAAAAATATAATATTTATTTTTTATTAAATTAATTTCCTTTATTAATATTTGTAGTAGAATAAATTCTCTATTATGCTCCGGCTTATGAAAAATTAACTTCTATTCTTTTACATTTATTATATAGGTTCATTTTATCCTAAAGAAATAAAATTATATAATGTCATTGATTTTTGTGGAGAATTATTATTTTTTTATTAATTTTTTATAAAAATCTAATTTTTTGGAATTACATTGAATTATTATATGATTCTATTTTTTTTTAAGTTCCTATTTATGAAAAATTTAATAAGATAATTAAAAATATAGTCTTTATCTATATAGATTTAGCTTGTAAAAATATTGAAATTGAAATCTATTATTTTCTTTCTTTAGGATAAAATAAACCTAATTTATTTATTATAGATTTCTATCTAGTAGTATGTATTAAATTTATTAAAAATATCTATTTTTATTTTATTTTATTTTATTTTTTTGAACTAATTCTAATTTGATAAAGAAACTATAATATAATTAAATCAATATATTTTTACAAATATAATTATTCTTTAATAAATATAAATATATGAATCTTTAGTAATTATTTTCTTAATTTTAAACTTAGTATTTTTTTAAATTATTTTTAAGTAAAAATTATTTAATTTCAGATTTTAAAAATAATTTTTTTCAAAAGATATACTTTAATTTTATACTTTTTAATAGAATAATACTAACATTTAATTGAAAAAAAAAGTTATCCTACAAATATAATTCTTTTATAAATTAAGATTGAAGTTTTTATCATAATAAATAACTTCTATGTTTTATCTTTATTTTTTATAGTTGATTATATTAGAAATCTATGAATTAGAGGTTATTAAATTATAATTATTTTTTTATAACAAAAAATTAATCAAATTTTTAATTTCTTATTAATACCTTATATAAAAAAAGATCAAGCTATGAATGAATTTATATTAGGTCTATATAAGTTTTAAAGGTCACATATGATCATATAGAAGATCTTGATTTTATTCTTGTATTTCTAAAGCTAATTATTTAATGATCTCAATTTGATTTTTGATAAATAAAGATTAATTAATAAAATTTAATCACTTTAAAAAAATTATTATAAACTAAAAAATATTATATTATATAAATTTTAATTTATAAATGTAATAGGTACTTAATTATAAAAAAAAGATTACTATGATCTACGATCATTTTATAATCTTAAAAATAAAAAGCTTAAAAAATATATTTTTTAAAATTTTTAATAATTTTAACATCCTTAAATCTTTTTAATCCTAAATCATGTACTTTATTAAATTTTAAGTTCTAAATCTTATTAATTTAAAAATCCTAAATTATAAAAATTCAAAAGAAATTTAGTTAAATTATAAATTTTCTAAAAACTTTATAAATACTAATTACAAAAATTATTAAGAATAAAAACTTAATAAAAGAAAATAAATAAAAAAGACTTTTTTTAAAGAATTGTAATAAATTAGAAATAAGGAAGTATGTATATTAAAAAGAAATTAGAATGGCTATTGTCAAAAGACAAGAAAATTAGAGACTTCTTGAAACTAGACTAGAAGCAAGAAAAGTATTGACAAGAATGAAAAAGGCTTCATTTTTGCATCTATATATACTATTTACCTAAGAGCTATATGGCAACATTCTATAGGACCTCCAAAATATATTGACTTTGCATAGCATGTATCTTAACTTAGAAGGTAAGTTTTTTATATAGATGCTACAAAGTTAACTTGTTTTGTAAGCTACCAACATGTTTAGTATGTGATTAACTTGTTAACCAAGTTTCTAATCTATCAATCAATTATAAACATATGTAAAGTTAACATAGCCTCTATAAAGCTTCTAAGAAGTTTTTTTAGAAGATATTGTAAAATTAATCTATTTTTTTTTACTTCTATCAATTCATATTACCTAAATAATAATTACAATAAATATATATGTTTGTGATATTAACCCTCCTTCTAAGAATGAATTCTATAAAGAGTGTTGATTATATATTGAAAAAAATTAAAATATAAAAAATTATATTTGTTATATACTTTGATCTT